CTCATCGGCATTCTGTACTGGCGATTGAGCTTCTGTTGATGCATAAGAAGAAGAAAACACCTTAATACAATGCTCAACATATGAACGCAAGCTTAGTGTTAATAATGACCGATGATGGTTGAAAAAACAGTGAATCCTATGATACCCTTCTTACTTACCTTCGTCGTCCCAATGCTTTCTGGGTGTCGTTGAGCCGGTGGTTGTGGTCTCAGTGTAGGTGTGTCTGAAGCAAACACAGGTTGACTGGGACGGTCCAGGGGCCCGAGCCCAAATTGTGGGTATCTACCGCGTTGAGGTGGTGGTTGCGGTCTCCGTATAGGTGGTGGTAGCGGTCTCCTTGTAGGTCTGTCTAAAGCAAACACAGGTTGTGCTGGACTGGGACAGTCCAGGGGCACGAGCCTAAATGTTTTGCGATTCATTCTGACAGTATGTTGATCCAAAATCCTACTGGTCAAATTGTAAGATCTGAAAATGCTGTAGACTGAAAGGCAACAAGTCACAAGTGAGTTTAAGTTTCTTTCAGTGAACAGGTTTGCAGCTTCCAGTACTGTGACGTAAAATAGAATGCATTCCGATGGCGTCACGCAGCAGCGCGTCAGAAATGCAAGAATTTTGTTTTGATTTAAACAACTGAAAACAGATAATGACCTGTCACCACAATAAGTCCATGAGAGGAATGTAGATTAAGGCTACTTGTAGTAATAATACCTGGCCTATATTTTGTGTCTAACTTAATATGAACTATTTGTCTATTGCCTCACGTTTTTAGACGCAATGACTGTTTTTGGTCTGTTTCAGCAGCGAAAATAATTCATATTAAGTTACTTACATTGACAGTTTTTGGTCTGTTTCAGCAGCGAAAATAGTTCATATTAAGTTACTTACATTGACAGTGTTTGGTCTGTTTCAGCAGCGAAGATAGTTCAACAGCGCATCTGACAGCAACACTCACATGATTCATTACTGAACGATTCAGCGTTTTGAACTAATCTCTCGAGTCAAAGATTCAATTACCCTTTATTAAACCGCCTCATTCTAAATCAATCAGCCGTTTGAACGAATCGTTTAAATGAATGACTCAATGACTCGCTCATTAAGAGGCCGCTGCCGTCTCCTACTGGCGGTTAATAGTTTCAAAGTATCACTCTTTTAGACAATCCTTATTTGTCTATATATATATATATATATATAAAAACAATCTCATTTAACAGTTATGTTTCAATTATTTAATTTGATTGGTAACAGCCTATATCTTATTATTTTAATTGAATGTATCAATAACATGTAAGAATTGGAATTTAGAGCACGCATTAAATAAATTTAGTGGGAATTATTCCAATAAGAGTGTTTTCAAAAATGAAATATTGACAATTTAAGTTTAAAGGGAGTAAAGCCTCTGTTTAGGCTACAAAGGAAATGTAATTTTGCAGAAAGAAGAACTTTTCATTTAAATAAATGTTCATTTTAAATCAGCCTATTTCAGTGTGATATGTTGCCATATTATCATAGTTGTAATGTGATGCTCAGATATATATATATATATGATTTATATATAAATCAAAGAATATGGGTGGTTGGCAGTTGGATTATTATTTATTTTTAACAACAGATATCAGTATAACTCAAAGTGCACCAGATTAATGAATTTATCTTTAAAATGTACAATATTTTTGTCCCAGGAGGACATGCCCCCCGGACCCCCCATAGTGTTACGGTTTTTCCACCTCTGCTTCATTTTGAGCCACGAAAAACCCTGACATTGGTCCATAGTGTAGCAAGCAGGTCTTTTATAATTTAATAATTAGGCAGGCCTACATACATTTTAGGGGACCCCCCAAGAGTCCTCAGTCATTTCGAACCCTGATTGCATCCACAACAAATAAGCATTTCTACCCAGATAGCAAAATTTGTCTGGCCCACCTCTGGGCCTCATCCTTGCCTCAGTTCAAAACTGGCGCAACACACTGACAGCAGACTCAAACAACTTCTTCTGGCCCAGATGTGGCCCACACCCTGTAAAATGACTTTTATTCATTGAAAGGTTGGACATCCGTTGTTCTGCAGGCTGTTGTAGATGACCAGCTAATGATTCGAGATATCTGCGTTGGGTCACCTGGCAGCGCACATGATGCCACAGTGTTTGCCACATCCAATCTGTTCAGGTATTTGAGCATGTTTATACACCAGTTCAGCTGTTGCATTTTTAAAGACATAGCACCATACATAGTGTATATATATATATTTAATAGCCAAGCTTTCGGTCACAAAACCATCCTCAGGGCAACCACCATCAGGGCATATGCCTTGGCTATTAAATTTGCTGAAAGGATTCAAGTGGACTGTTTAATGGTACACCCCACTACCAAGTTTCACAACATGTGCACTCTTTCCAGATATCAAGAAAAACACCCCCAAGAAAGTTTGGAAATTGAAGGAGTCCAAGTGCCTCTACTAGGGTGACCACCTGCTAATAAGCCCAAGGGGGGACAAGGGGTATGTTTCTGAGGGACAATGTGGGACACTGCTTGGCGCGGCGGTGCCCCCACCCCACGGGCAGACTCTGATAGTGGTTTACCCATATCTAGAACTGTTACTATTGCCTTACTGTTTGTACATGAATAATTGTTCAAAAAAAAAAAAAAGCACATACTGTACCTTACATACATTAATGCCCTATTCCCTAAACATGTGTAATTGCTGATATATGCTCATGATAGGCCAACCAATGTGTTTTTTTTTCTAAATAAAGATGAATATTTTGAACATTAAATGAATTGACAGATGCACTTCTTACGATTTACTTTAGCTATTTAATTTTATTTATTTTTCATTACAATTAATTCACTTTAAATAAATAAAAATATAAAATTATAGGATTAACAGGAATTATAGTTCCTCAACACCACAGGAACAGTTTTAAAAAAAAAAGTCGAAAAAAAGTCTAAACTCACAGCTCCAGAGGTTCACGGAACGAGAAGCTGCGCTGTCATGACACCAATGAAAAAGTTGACATCAACCTAGTCAGCAGGTCACGTGGGAGTGGCAACCAGTCTTGGGGAAGTTCACTTTCTACATGAACTAGTTCAAAGTTCAGTTCACACATTTTAAAATGAACTAGTTCAGTTCAAAGTTTGCACAGAAATGTAAGATTTTTCCCATTTTCACCGACCTCGTTATAAAATCCGTTTAAATTATCATACGACGCCTTTGTCGACGGCGGCCGCGGTGCGACACTGGTGGCTTGTGTTGCCAGATTGGGTGTTTTTTCGCTACATATTAAGCCCTGTTTACGGTGAGTTTTAGCCGGGTTTTCACCTGGAAGGCTCTATAAATCTGGCACCCCATTGAACGAAGTTAAACTGAGAGAGCGTGCGTTCACAGACACCAGAGTGAACGAGTTCCCACGTTCATCAGGACAGGCAGTAAAACAATGCGTTCAGTTCACCCAAAATATGAACGAGTTCATGAACGTGAACGTGTTCAGGCACTAGGTTTGGCTGCCTGGGTCTCGAGGATATATAGACTGACCGACTTTTTTTTTTTTTTTTTTTTCTTCAGCAAGCATTGATTATGCGTGACACGGTCTCAATTTGCGGGACGCATGAATTGGGCTTCAAACGCTGTGCGCGCACGCGCTACGCGGGACGGGTGGTCACCCTAGCCTCTACTCCTTGCTGGTGACCCTGCATACTCGCTACTACCCTGGGTCATGAAAGGCTTCTCAGGTCCAAATTTGACAGAAACACAAACATTGTTCAACGAGCAGCTCAGCACCATCCGTGTGAAGGTGGAACATACATTTGGACACCTAAAAACCAGATGGCGTGTCCTGGCCAAAATGTGTGACATAGATCATGACTTCATGGCTACAGTAGTGGCTCCATAATAAATGTGAGGGGGGAACAGCAGCTACCACCAGCAGCACTACAGATACATCCAGCTCCTCAACAGCCTCAGGGTCACACGCGGGATGAACCTGATGCTCCGACTCTAGAAATCAGGCAATCTCTGGTGAATCATCTGCTCAGGACCCAAACATGCTTAAAACACCTGTCTTTACATTTATTTCAGTTGTTGCAATTTGAAAAATACCGTAAGAGATTGATGTTCTTTCTTTCAAATAACTTCTTTATTTAGAAGTTCTAGAATACAATATTTACGAATTGTCAGTTATACTGAATTATAACAATTAATGGCTTTAAGTCAGCTGCCACTGTGCCAAATGAAGAAACAGGACGGATGTTACATTTCTGTATCTCAGAACATGGCATGGCTTGAAATTACTTGTACATTTAACATTAAAATGAACATTAAAAAAATTACCAAATTGTATGTTTTTGTACATAGCATCTATAAACTTGCAGTTTGCTGTGTTAAAAACTCAGAATACAAAAACAGTAAATCAATAAAAATCAACCGCAACTTGCCATTAACCATAGGAAACAATGGAAAAGGTAACAGTAGTGTGTGTGTGTGTGTGTGAGAGTGATTTGAACAAAAAGGCATATTTCTCATGAGTTGTGTATGTAATGGATGACCTACACATTCTGGTACGAGGGAGAGTGGCCAGGGGAACAGGTAGATGACTGATGTTGCTGTGATATACAAATTATATTAGTTTGAACTACCAGCAATGTTTTCCCCCAGCAATGAATGTTAAAAGCTCTAGTCACAGAACAAATAATAGGTTTGATTTATTATAATTGTAGCGCCATTTCCCAGAATTAAAAGGAAATTGCTTTACATTGATAAAGAAATTCAGATAAATTAATCTAAACCACATTTTTAATGGGTAACTTATAACAGTGAGCAATTACATTTCCAAAGTAACCTTCCTGACCCTGACTGTAGGGGAGCGCTGGACACAACGTAACACGGGCTATAGTTGTAACACACTAGTTTTAAATACTTCTACACGCTAGCATGACGATACTTGGTGTATTTACTAGTTGCCATTTCAACACTATACAGAGAAAAAAATGCGCCAAAATTCAGAAATCTTTGTAAGATATCACTGAACATTTATTTAACCATAGCAAAAGTACATTTCTTACATAAGTTAATTTTTCATCTCTATTTTTTGTGTTTAATTAAAATTAGACAAATCTGATATTTCTGATATATCTCTAATCTGTTGTTTAACAGTTGATATAGTTCTTTATTGCTTCGCTAACTTGCAGAAGACACAAGCAGGGTTTAAACCTCAGTTGTGCAGTTGGGGCATGTTGTCACACTGCGTTACATTGTGCTCCAGTAGTGAACTACAGTACAATGCCCTCGTCATTCTGTACAGCACAATAGCAGTAAAAAGTAAGGTGATGGTGCAGTCCTGTCACAAACTAATTATCCAGATAAGCACAGATGTAAAAATAAAAGAAATAGTCAGTTTTTTCTTTAATTGTTCGGGTGATTTCCTTGTCTCTGGGAATCCTCTGGATGTACATGTCTTCGTGTGTATAGACAACAAAGTCACACCAGTCAAATCCAGAAATCAACATCTGTCCCTGGACCTGCCAAAAGTACGGATGAGATTTCCTTAATGTGTGTGTGCCCTCACTGATCTTAATATATGGAGTGTCAACAAAACTTGCCACATTTGGGCATTTAATTTCAACAATCCCAAACACTGGCTCGCCTTTTGGATCGTACACGATCCCATCTGGTGATGATCCCATCCAGGGTGCGTCAGGGTGGATCAGGAACCCACAGGTATAGTGCTTCACCTCCTTCACTCTGCAGTACCCCTCTACAGATGCTGGTTCCAAGTCAAGTCCCCTCCTCATGTCTGCAGTCTGATGACTAGGTTTGAGAAGTCTTTTCGCTAGATTTTCTCCTGGTGTGACAGACCTCTCTTATTTTGGAAGTGGTGATGCGGGGCCGCCTTAGTTGGTGCCACTCACTGCAGGAACTCTGCTTTTTTGTACTGTTCTCGATTTTGTATGCTGTCTCCAATGTCGTTGCAAGGGACATCATGTGAAGCTGCTGATGTTCAGTGCAGACGAAAGAACAATTAGAGGGTCCCAGCCTGTAATTATGAAGTGGCAACTGAGGGGGAGAAGGGGCATCTGTGTGTGGACAGGTCTTTGGCATTGTCTTTGCTGGCATGTGATACGATAACACACTTCCTTCTTGCACTTTCCCAAACACTGAGTCAACCAGAGCTACTCTATCGCCATTGTTGTTATCAGTGGAGCAACGTCACTGGGAAGGTCATGGTAGACTTCATCCACCCTGAGTGAGGAAAGTTCAGGCAGAGGTGAACTCACCCCCTTATACAAGTTGCTCCTATGCAAAAAACAAAGAAATAGTGCTTATTGTTTTTATAAAGTAAGTTAAGCATATGTTTAAATGAACAAACATTAATGTGAAAAGCCTGAAATACAATGTGTCCTATAATTTAGCACATGATTATTTCATCCGAATTATCACAAAAAATGACTAATAATAATTACAACAATAATAATAACCTGATACCTTCTACCAATCTTCGTTCCTTAGGTCTGGCTGAAAGAATCACCATGTCATTTACTGGACCAGGTTTAATTCCCTGCATTTAAAGAAGAAAAGGTTTTATAGTACACATAAATGTACATAAATTAGCTCAAGGTACCATATTAGAAAAGTTGATTAGCATGGTTCTTGGTTTATGCCACTTCTGTTCAGTCTCTGTGCAACTGTGTGTTGGGGGAACCAAGGTGATCTTCAGCTGGGAATAATGTGCAGTCTGGTACAAAAGTGCTGCCACATGGTTACATAAAGCTGTACCTGCCACACAGGAACATATGCAGCTTTGTAACTGCACAGGATGGGAATCCCTAAGCACAATCTGTGAAAATACACAAATCTGTCACAATATAATACAAGTGCAGTAAAAAATAAAAATAGTAATAACTTCTGTAATAAAGGAGAACACATGAGTACAGTGAGAATTTTTTTAAAAAAAAATAAGAATGCAAGGTCTTGGAGCCAGAGGGGCATAAGTGGCATTTTGGGCTAATATGAGTTCTTTATATCAAAATAAAGGTCTCGATGAGCTCTATCCAATAGTGCCAAAAATAAAACTGTATTGAATAAAGCAACAAAAAGGCGTATCTGACGTATTTGATTTTTTTTTTTATTTGAAAATGTTTTAGAACATGTTCATTGTGTTAATATGCCATACATTTTTTTTACTTAAATACTCAGTCATGTAAGTATGCCTGTGGTTGCAATGTTTGTGGTTTAAGGTTAATAATACAGGTGATTGAAATGTGGTCAAAATTTTATTTTGTCTCTCCTGTAAAGTTTGTTGAAAGCCACTTACGCCCCTCTGGCTCCAAGCCCTCGAATCGATCATTTACAACAAAAGATTTTAAAAAAACTTTACAAAATGGGTGCATTAAAACACATTAATTCAAGTTTAACTAATGCACAGATAGTCATGAGTTAATGTATGACTCATGGGGAACTACACCATTATTTAATGATTACTGCATCAGCAACTAATAAAGAGTCTATATGATTAATAGGTTACATAATACATGAATTGCTATTAATTAAACGTGTCATCATGTATTAATTCCTAAATACCATATTTTATTAACTAACAGTGTAAATTAATGTGTTAATTACCACAATTAGTCAAAGCTATGCACATTCAACTTAATAAAATATGTTATTAAGGAATCAATACATGATGACACGTTTATTTAAAGGGTCATGAAACCCCCCTCTTTCAGCTCAAGTCTAGCTCAAAATCTTTTTGAAAAATGCAACTTAAATGGGTGTGGCTAGCTGTGAGAAGAAGGGAGGGAGTGGGTGTGGTATGGCCATCACGTCAATGTCCCATGCATATCGACTGTCACTAAAAAGCAATGGTAAAATGTGAGGAAATGCTACATTTTTATATATAGCTGGCAAAGTTAAAGTCTTTTGAAATACACTGACACTTTATTATTGTCCTTTCAAAAGTAACTGAATGTCCTGCTACATATTAGGGGTACACGATATATATAGAATCAATTTTGTTATCGCGATATCACGTTGCTTGATATACATATCGAAAGTCTCGCGATATTTATGCAATATTTTGTTTATGATGCGTCCATCACCGTTTCATTTCCCCGATTCATTTCCTGATTCTCCTTCTCCATAAACAACATGAAATCAGGGAGAGCTTTTCATGCTACAGATTTCCCACAGTGGTGGTCAGAAAGAACCGGGGAGACACTTTGTTTTTCTCAAGAGTCGCTACTTGCTTCAAAGCTAATCGCCGTCACTTTCTCACTTCTCACTTGCTCTACTATCACACAGTCGTCCACCCCCCCCCCCCAAATAATCAGGCGCAAGGCGGTTGTGCAGTTTCCATCAATAGGCACATTTTTATTCAAATAATTCAGCAGTTAAAGAAAAGAAGTCCTTAAAATACCCACAAAATAAAAAAAATAAGAAACAAAAACAACAACCCACAGATGGCCACAGGTTACCTATATCGTGAAGGCAGTAGTCCTGAAAAGTGCTCTCACCACAGCAAAACTCACAGCAATCACACTGCATCCCTAAAGGCAAAAATACAAATAAAGTGACTTAAACCACACGATCCCAGCCACCTCACCACCGCCATCCATACAGTGAGGGTAACCACGCAGCCATCGTTGGGAAAAAAGAAATCTACAAAAAGGAAAGAAAAAAGATTAACCGTGGGTAATGCCAGTAGGACAAACAAGTCAGCAGCACCATTGAACCATCACACTTAGTTTATGGTCTGGGGTTTTCCCACTTGGTCCAACATAAGACAAAATAATAAATAAACCAAAGAAAATTCAATCTAAAGTAAACGGTAACCTCTAAGGGAAAACACAATTAATTACAACAGGGAATTATATACAATGTACAAAAAAACACAAAATAAAACCCAATATAAATTATGCACAGATGGAAAAAACATTATCAAAAGTTCCCTTTAATAAAACAATACCTCAAACATCCGATATTTCTGACTGGCACTCAGGCAACAATCAGTCAGGCAATAATCCAGCAAAAACACTAAAAACCAAAGAACAATAAAATTATTAAAACAAAATCCTAAAAAACAATTAGATAAAATAATAAAACTACTACCTCCTAAATGGTGTGTAACAAGTACTCAGTTCTCCATGACGTTAACATAACTGCTTATCTGCTACTATCCTTCTGAAGGGCTCAATCTGTCGTGACCTGCACACATAACTCAATCGCTGCAAAAAAAAAGAAATAAGAGCAAACTAATCTCTCTACTTACTAACCTTTGCAGCTTTAAGTGTGCCGCCTCCACAACACACACGACCTCCACAACACACGATCACGGAAAGGAAGTGAGAGGACAAACAAACCTCACTACTTCCTTATATAGCGCTGGGGGCTGGTGGGACTTGTAGTTCCCCAACCTTGTCCCATTACACACTGAACTTTCAGCGCTGCAACTTTACAGATACTCTTCATGCACTAACAGCAACATTACACACTATTTAAAATCAAAAAAGTGAAACTTGACAAAAGGTGTGTTCCGACTTCATGCAGCTCTGCGCAGACCGATCGGCGGCTGAATTGAAGCAGTGCATGCTGGTTTGAAATTTTGTCCGACTTGCAGCGCCGACGCCACATGACTGTGATGTATGCCATCAAAGCGAGAGTGTTTCGAGAGTAGCCGGAGAACTCAGCCAGCACAGCTTCTCAAGAGCAGCTCTGATGACAACACAGCTGTTCTACGATTGGCCGGATTCACAAGCTCTAATGACGTCACAGCTGTTCCACGATTCGCTGGATTCACCACATTCAAGACATAACAACGATTAACGTGTGTTTCGTGTTTATTCTCACACCTTCAGTTCCACTAATGCTCACAAATCTATTTTCATGAAGTCGCGGTGTTATATTGTGTCATGTTTATCAAATTAAAAAAAGTTGACTCCACTTCATTGATATAGGCTCATTTTGTAATTCAAGTTTTTATTCTTTTCATCCAGTACATAACAACACATGTATCAATACTGCTTGCAAGGCCAGAACAAGTGGTTTAATGTAATAAAGAAAAAAAGATAATAAAGTAAAATAAATAAGTAAATTATTATTTCACATGTAAAGACAACGTCACAAATGATCAAAAATCTTCCCAAACTGGAGTATCCACCGGGACCCCCGTTTTGTTCTTATTATGTAGCTTGCAAAGCAGACGTTCGTATGAAGCTGTTCTGGTCATTATGTTGACCCATTCTTTTAACTCTGGGGTTTCTGGAGTTTTCCAGTGTTTCAGGATGACTCTAGCCGTCACAGAGACCCCTACCATAATTACTGCAAACTCTCCCTTTGAAGTATTTGGCATCTGTTCCCTGTCTCCTAATAGACACAACCTTGGTGATGACTGTATTGTTGTTCCAAGCCATTTGCTTAAAATATTTAAGGTTTGTTGCCATAAAGGTTGAATAATTGGACATTCCCAGATACAATGAATAAAAGTATGCAGACTTCACATTGGGACATAGCTAGAGTGTTAAGCCATCTATGCAGGTACAGGTAAACGCCCCCAAGCAAATGCATTAAACGCTTTAAGTTTCATCATTCACTCACCTGCACGTTGGAAAGATGGCACGATTCACTGGTGCGAAAGCCCTGCTCATCAAAGATTTCACATTTTTATCAGAGGAAGAGCGCGACTAGTCTGATGACTACCATTTGTATTTTGAAGAGCGACTTGATCCAGCCATGGATAGAATTTCGGATGAGTAAGTATTTAGTCTTACTTACATTAATTGACAAGCTATTCAATATAAACATGTAGCTTTCATATTATACTGGGTGGTCTATTTTCCACTTGCCATCCAGAGTATTGACATTTGATATCTACCTATATTCAACACAACCTAATGAAGGTGCATATCTATACCATGAATTTAATATCTTCTAATAAAAATATTTAATAAAATCTAATAAAAATCTATCTAATATATATATATATATATATATATATAATTTTTAGTGCATATGCTACACACTGTAAACCCCTTAGTTAGGAAATTTGTATTGGTATTTGTAAATTATATTTTTAGATCATTATGTACTGTATGAAAGCTAGAATTTAGAAATGAATTTAGAAAATAAGCCTAGTAGGTGTTTAGATTATATTTTTTACTATAAAATAGACATCAAATAAGCTTTAGTTAGAGAGTTTCTGCTCATATGTTAAACGCCGCCATTCGTACTCTTTTATTAAGGTCCCGGCAAGGCAGAACAGGAACATTGCAATAGCCTCCTCCATGCTGGTTTGTTGTTGTATGTGGCCGCACTACATCTAGTGATGATGCTATAAAGACCGTCGCCATGCTTGCGTCACTCCCTTACCTCTCCTACCAGTTCCTATGGCCACTTGGCCAGTGCGAACGCAAGCAGCAAAACCGAGATAGGGGGAGAGTACCTCTTAGAACTGTTTAGAAGTGGACAGTTCCTATAACTAAGTTCCTGTTACTACTTGGTTGGAAAGCGGCTTTTGAGGAGAGTTTTATCACAGCATTGGAGGGTGAGAAATAATGTCAGAATTGGGAGAAGTAAACTCACAATTGTGAGAAAAAAAGTCAGAATTGTTTGATAAAAAGTCACAATTACCTTTCATATTTTTCATTCAATGGCGGAAGCAAGCTTCCATATTTATGAATGCCAGTGTGGATGTGAGCATTTAACGTTCATGATTTAAGAGCCCCCTGCTGATTAACTGGTTGGAAAACATCCTCACTGTCACATCCACAACATGAACCTGACATTTTTCAGTCTGAAACTCATTCCATGCTGATGACATAAAAAAAAGGTCTCTCATGAGTATTTGCTCATACTTCAAGGTTACTTTATATCTGAAACTCTTTCCACAGAGATCCTATATGAACGGCTTTCTCCTGTGTGAGTTTTAATGTGCATGTTAAAGTTTCCTTTTCGGTTGAAACTTTGTCCACACTGCTGGCAGGTGAAAGGCTTCTCTCCAGTGTGAACTATCATGTGCCTTTTATAGTTTCCTTTTACAGTAAAGCTTATTCCACACTCTTCGCAGATATAAGGGCTTTCTCCAGAGTGAACGACCATGTGCATTTTAAGGTTTCCTTTTCGGCTGAAACCCTTTCCACACTGTTTGCAAGTGAAAGGCTTCTCTCCAGTGTGAACTCTCATGTGGACTTCAAGGTTTCCATGTTGACTGAAACTCTTTCCACACTGATGGCATGTGTAGGGTTTCTCACCAGAGTGAGATCTCATGTGGACTTTAAGGTCTTCATGTTGATCAAAACTCTTTCCACATTCTTTGCAGGTGTAAGGCTTCTCTTTAATGTGAATTCTCACATGGTTTTTTAGGTTTCCTTTTCGGCTGAATCGCTTTCCACACTGTTGGCAGGCGTACGCCTTTTTCTCCATGTGAACTTCCATGTGAACTTCAAGGCTTTTTTCCTGACTGAAACTCTTTTCACACAGTTGGCAGGGGTAATGCTTCCCTTTATTGTGAATCCTCATGTGGTTATTAAGGTGTCCTTTTTGTCTGAATCTCATTCCGCACTGTAGGCAGATGCATGGCTTATTTCCCTGGTGATCTTCCATGTGGACTTTAAGGTCATGAAGTTGATCAAAACTCTTTTCACACTGATAGCAGGTGTAACCCTTCTCTTTATTGTGAATGCTCATGTGCCTGTTAAGGCTTGCTGTTCGAGTGAATCTGTCTCCACAGTGTTGGCAGATGAAACAACTTTTAGTTTCTGTCTTTTGAAATTTTTCTTGTGATGAAGTCTTTTCAGTTTGTGAGCAACTAAAAGATTTTTCTTCAGTTGTGAAATTATGAAGATTCTCATATTGATCTTTATCTTCCATTTCATTCGGTTCTTGTTTCTCCTCTTTCAGCGCCATCAGGTCTAAAGCAAAAAAAGAAATAAGAGTTAACCCCAGTTTAACAGCACAAAGCAACAGCCATTAAAACATGTAAAGCATTAAAACCAACATACAATTAGATCTAAAACCTGAAAAACATGTTAAAGGTGTAGTGACAGACAGATTAGACACAATTATTTACTATATTTGATAAATAATCCACAACCAAACCTGGGGTGCATTTCCCCGAAAGCATCGTAAGCCAACTATGGTCGCAAGTCATTTACATTATATTTTGATAACTCTGTCTACCAGTGTGTTTTGCAGAAAATAGATTAGTTCATGGAAGAACTTTCAAGATTATATATTATATAAATAGTACAAATAATAAAAACTAGCTCTGGTTCAATAAAACAGCATGGTATTACCTGGTCTCCCCTGTTTATTGTCGCAACTCTGTACAATACAGCAAACACCCATGATTGTAAACTATACTTTTACTATCTAGTAATGGCTGACTCTACACAATAAACTCTGAGTGAACTCTCTGCTCCTAACCACGGTGCGTCTCAGGTGCTGCGGTAATCACTCCGCCCAAGTAGCAGTGCTTCGCCTTCTGAGAATATAGTTCCCAATATTTATACAGTTAAAAGATGGCATGGACGATACCGTTTTAGCTCCTTCCTCTTCTGCTCGTAACCTTGGTGCGATTTTTGATGCCCATCTAACACTGGACTCTCACATTAAGAGTATTACAAAATCTGCTTTCCATCACCTAATAAACATTGCAAAAATTAGGCCCTATCTTACCCTGCCGGATGCTGAAAGGCTTATTCATGCTTTTGTTACTTCCAGGATTGATTACTGTAATGCACTTTTTGTTGGTTTACCTGTTAAATCTATAAAACGCCTGCAATACATTCAGAATTCAGCAGCACGTGTGCTGACACACACTTCACCTCGTCAGCACATTACAGGTGTGCTTTATAGTTTGCATTGGCTACCTGTCCAGTCACGTATTGCTTTTAAAACTCTCACACTAACTTACAAAGATATGCATGAAATAGCTCCCTCTTATATCTCTGATTTAGTCAGCCTGTATGCGCCTTCTCGTTCCCTCCGGTCTACAGACTCTCTTACTCTGCAGCAAGAGTAAGATGGGGGATAGAGCTTTCTCTGTTGCGGCACCCAGATTATGGAATGCACTTCCTCTTACTGTTAGAGCTGCTCCCACATTGGCCAGTTTTAAGAAGTTGTTAAAAACACATCTTTTTAAAAATTGCTTATACAGACTTATGATTAGTATCCTAATGTTGTGTACTGTAATGATTATTTTGTATTACTTTTGTACTTGTATTTTACTTGTTTTTATTGTTTGTAGCGCTTTGGGTTTTAGAAAAGCACATTATAAATAAAATGTATTATTATTATTGCTCTCCCACCGTTAAACACGTGGGCATCGGGACGCATCGGTTTCCAGCGAACACAGGCTGCACTGTCCACCCCACAGGGTTGCGGCCAGGCAGCAATCGCGTCCGCCCATCGAGAATCATTTTCGGTCCAGCCCTGCCGGAAATCCGCTTCAGGGGGCCGAGAACAAATCCCGATTAATACCCGAAGCCAGGCTCGAGAGCCTGGTTCCCTTGGTAAAATAGGGCCCTGCGCACCATTCAGAATGGGTACAGGCTGCAGTTCGGTTTCCACCCACCCAGATGCAATGGGGTGATCTGGACTGTAGTCGACCCAGTGCAAGGTTGGGAGTTAACAGGAAGTAAACTCCCTTCTAGAAAGAGAGGCCATAGAACGTATTCCTCCACTAGACAGGGAGTCCGGGCTCTACAGCCGCTACTTCATAGTTCCCAAGAAGGATGGGGCGGTTGCGTCCGATAATAGATCTCAGGCACTTGAACCGTTCTCTGAGGAGATTCAGATTCAAGATTCTCACCAACAATTGTGAACCAAATTCAATCCGAGGATTGGTTTCTCACGATAGATCTGAAGGATGCTTACTGTCATATATTCATCCATCCATCTCACAGGAAGTTCCTGAGGTTCGCTTTTGGGGGCGAAGCGTACCAATATCGGGTTCTTCCGTTCTGCCAAGCACTCTCACCCCGCACATTTACCAAATGTGTGGATACAGCTCTAGCACCCCTGTGACTCGAGGGTATCAGGGTGCTCAATTTTATAGACGACTGGCTCATTCTGGCTCAGTCACAAGAGCAGGCGGTTCAGCATCGAGATGTTGTCCTCGCCCACATCCAGAAGTTGGGGTTGAGACTCAACACGAGGAAGAGCGTGTTGACACCAGCCCAGAGAACGACCTTCCTGGGAGTGGTGTGGGATTCGGTTACGATGCGGGCACGGCTGTCTCCCGGGTGAGTCGGATCCATCCTGGCCACAGTGGCTGGGATAAAGCTGGGCCAAGCCATCACTGTCAAACATTTCCAGAGAGTGTTGGGGCTCAGGGCAGCAGCGTCCAACATCATTCCATTTGGCCTGCTGCTCATGAGGGCCCTTCAGTGGTGGTTTAAAACCAAGGGTTTTTCCCTGAGGGGAAATCCATTCCGCACGATCAGGGTTACGCGCAGATGCCTTCGTTCCCTATCTATGTGGAAGAAAGCTTGGTTTCTGTCCCAAGGTCCAGTGTTGGGAGCGTCATGTCGCCGGAAAACCGTCTCGACAGACGCTTCCCTCACGGGCTGGGGCGCGGTCATGGACGGCCGCTTTACGACAGGCCTATGGCAGGACCATCATTCCTCCTGGCACATAAACTGCCTGGAAATGTTGGTGGTTTCCCGGGCCCTGCCGGACCTCAGAGGTCACCATGTCCTCGTGAGGTCAGACAATATGTCGGTAGTGGCCTATATAAACCATCAGGTGGGGCCTGAGGTCATATTTATTGGAGAAGGATAACCCCTTGAGATGGAACATCTCATTTTCGAGGAGGTCCTCAAGATAACACCAAACACTTACAGACATACTAAAGCTCTTCCACACAACCAACACCCCAAACTGTCCCAACTCTGTCCAAAGCATATCACATAAACAATATACTATGACATTAGGATAGCCTATATTACAGGAGAAAACCATAATTGACGAAACCACAAAAACAAACAAATATAACCTACATATACATACAAATACAAAAATACATACCTATATACACATATGCACACAAACATGCATGCATGCATCCACTGCCTACATACATACCACATACCTACATACACATGTACACATCCCCGCACACATGCTCTTTTCTTCACATTAGTGAAGGAAAAAACAAAAAACAAACAAAAAAAATAAATAAATAAATAAAGCAAATTAAAACACAACTCATATACTAGGAAAACATATACATTGGTCACAAGATTGCAAGTAAGTTAAAAGGGCTGACTTAAAGAGTGGAAAGGAAAAGATGGACCTTAAGGAACAAGGTAAGCTGTTCCAATCAGAGGGGGCTTTGAATTTGAAAGAACGTCTTCCAATTTCTTTAGATATATTTGGGACAGAAAAAAAGAGATGATCAAGGTGTCTCAGGCCATAAGTTGACCTATATAGAACTAAATGTTGCTTCAAATAAAAAGGATAATTAAAAAATATACATTTATAAACAAATTGAAACCAGTGTAGCTGACGTCTAGCCTTTGGTGATAAAAGATTCAATTGTTGGTACATATGACAATGATGGGTTTGAAACGGACATCTCAACACAAATCGACAGAGACTGTTATAAACAATATTTATGGGTTTAAGGTGTGATTCTGTTGTACTCATATAGACAAAGTCAGCATAATCAATAATAGGAAATAAAAGCTGAGTTACAATTCTTAATCTAATCAATTGTGTAAAGCAATTAATTGAACGATATAATAATCTTAAATTATAATTTACTCTTTTCACTATAGAATCAATATGAGGCCTAAAGGAGAGGCTGGAGTCAAGCCAGAGGCCCAAGTATTTCAATTCCTCAACATTCTCCATTAATGTACCATCTGAGAATTTAATTGTTAAGTTATTGCCATGGTTATGTCGAGCAGATCTAGTTGAGAATAACATACTATAAGACTTACTTTTATTCAATATAAGTCCATTATTCGAAAACCACTTTTGAATAGTATTAAACTCAAGTTGCAGTGATGATTGGATTGAAATAATATCACGTTTTGAAGAATAAATAACTGTATCATCAGCATACAAGAGAATTTGACTATCAGAGCACATTTGTGGGAGGTCATTAATGAAAATAGAAAATAAAAGAGGGCCTAAACAAGAACCTTGAGGAACACCCTTATCCATTATCATAAACTGAGAGAGAGCACCATTGAGATTTACACACTGACGTCTGTAATGAAGATATGAATTAAACCATAGAATGGACTGTTCAGAGAGACCAATGTTATATAGTTTATCAAGGAGAATATAATGATCAACCAGATCAAATGCTTTGGTAAGATCTATAAATATTGCTCCAGTGGACATATTATTGTCCAAAGAAGATGTAACATCGTTAACAAATTTTGTAAGAGCAGTAGTGGTGGAGTAATTGGGCCTAAAACCTGATTGGTTTGGAGAAAAAATAGAAAACTCATTAATGTATTTAAACAGTCTCTTGAATATAATTTTTTCAAATACTTTTACTACATTACTAATAATTGAGATTGGTCTATAATTGTTAGGATCAAGAGGATCACCACTTTTGTATAAGGGTGTTACTCTAGCACACTTCCACATAACTGGAACTTTGCAAGAAGATATAGATAAATTAAATAGATCACATAATGGATATGCTAGAACATGAGAGGCAATTTTAATGAACTTTATCTCCAAACCATCTATACCAACACCACTTCCAGATTTAATTTCATAGATTGCCTGCTGTACCTCAGTGGGATGAATTGTAGTAAATGAAAAAGAACTGTTTACTACATTACTATTTACAGGGTTGGAGTAACAGAATTCAGGTGGACGTAAGTTACAGACAGAAGAGAAGTGATGATTGAAGGCATCAGCTACAGAAATTGGATCACTTATAATA